GTATTATCATATTTCACTATTAGTACATATATATGAATATAGGCACTTTACCCATAATTGTTCTGGATGACATGTGACTGACCTCTCTATCCTAATTGTTCCGGGTGACATGTGACTGACCTCTCTATCCTAATCGTTCCGGGTGACATGTGACTGGCCTCTCTATTCTAATTGTTCTGGGTGACATGTGACTGACCTCTCTATTCTAATCGTTCCGGGTGACATGTGACGGACCTCTCTATCCTAATTGTTCCGGGTGACATGTGACGGACCTCTCTATCCTCATTGTTCCGGGTGACATGTGACGGACCTCTCTATCCTAATTGTTCCGGGTGACATGTGACGGACCTCTCTATCCTAATTGTTCCGGGTGACATGTGACGGACCTCTCTATCCTAATTGTTCCGGGTGACATGTGACGGACCTCTCTATCCTAATTGTTCCGGGTGACATGTGACGGACCTCTCTATCCTCATTGTTCCGGGTGACATGTGACGGACCTCTCTATCCTCATTGTTCCGGGTGACATGTGACGGACCTCTCTATCCTAATTGTACCGGGTGACATGTGACGGACCTCTCGTATGTTGTTCAGTGAGGTAGGCTTTGCCATTAGCTATTACAAGGAGGTTCTGCATTAAAACGATCCTGGATATTCACGGAGTGATAACCTTAACAAACAAACATGGCTACAGTATACAAACAGGGAAAAGAGGGATGGAAGAAGATGCGTTAGGAGAATGTTGGCCTGGGAGAAATTCAGACTGAAACTGTTCCATTCCATGAGTTCTTTGCTTCAAATATGATTATCTATATGAATTGCGTCACGGTCACTCCAATGGCTGTATATGTCCATTCAATTGTTCTTATCATAAAAGATTTTACAAAAAATGAAACTCTCCTGTTCGACCTGACCATCATTGTTTACAGGTCAGATTTGTAGGGTAGGCATTAACTAGAAGTCTATAACCATTACTGTTGTAAAATCTCACCACATAATTCAGAATACGAAAACTGTCATATTTGTAATCGTTTTGAAAAATACATATTACCAGTTTCTTTTTAAACTCTCTTGGAGCACTTAGGATAAATAATGTAATTACATCGATTTCGGGAGGCGATTCTTGAAATTCGGTTGTCTGGTTGTTCTGATTTATCAGAAATCGAGAAAGATTGTTGTCTTTGTAAGCAGGGAGCGAAATGAACTCCGCAAAGGGGGTATATAAAGTGTAAGTTATTTTGTTTAGCTGGTTTAAACTATAATGGCTTCAGAGCTGGTCAGCTGTGTAAATCAGAGATAGTTTCAGGAGAGCCTGTTGTTTATTGATAAAAGAGTGCTCATTTAGTTCGTGCAATTCCTAGTTCATGTCATCATTTGAAAATATGTTTTAGACCCTAAGCATCATTGACGGGTCCTAGAAGGACGAAACAGGTGTATGATGTAACATCACTGACGAGTCCTAGAAGGATGAAACAGGTGTATGATGTAGCATCACTGACGAGTCCTAGAAGGACGAAATAGCTGTATGATGTACCATCACTGGCGAGGCCTTGGCGGACGAAACAGTTGTATGATGTAGCATTACTGGCGAGTCCTAGAAGGACGAAACAGCTGTATGATGTAGCATTACTGGCGAGTCCTAGAAGGACGAAACAGCTGTATGATGTAGCATCACTGACGAGTCCTAGATGGACGAAATAGCTGTATGATGTACCATCACTGGCGAGGCCTTGGCGGACGAAACAGTTGTATGATGTAGCATTACTGGCGAGTCCTAGAAGGACGAAACAGCTGTATGATGTAGCATTACTGGCGAGTCCTAGATGGACGAAATAGCTGTATGATGTAGCATCACTGAAGAGTCCTAGAAGGACGAAACAGCTGTATGATGTAACATCACTGGCGAGTCCTAGAAGGACGAAACAGCTGTATGATGTACCATCACTGGCGAGGCCTTGAAGGACGAAACAGTTGTATGATGTAGCATTACTGGCGAGTCCTAGATGGACGAAATAGCTGTATGATGTACCATCACTGGCGAGGCCTTGGCGGACGAAACAGTTGTATGATGTAGCATTACTGGCGAGTCCTAGAAGGACGAAACAGCTGTATGATGTAGCATTACTGGCGAGTCCTAGAAGGACGAAACAGCTGTATGATGTAGCATCACTGACGAGTCCTAGATGGACGAAATAGCTGTATGATGTACCATCACTGGCGAGGCCTTGGCGGACGAAACAGTTGTATGATGTAGCATTATTGGCGAGTCCTAGAAGGACGAAACAGCTGTATGATGTAGCATTACTGGCGAGTCCTAGATGGACGAAATAGCTGTATGATGTAGCATCACTGAAGAGTCCTAGAAGGACGAAACAGCTGTATGATGTAACATCACTGACGGGTCCTAGAAGGACGAAACAGCTGTATGATGTACCATCACTGGCGAGGCCTTGAAGGACGAAACAGTTGTATGATGTAGCATTACTGGCGAGTCCTAGATGGACGAAATAGCTGTATGATGTAGCATCACTGAAGAGTCCTAGAAGGACGAAACAGCTGTATGATGTAACATCACTGACGGGTCCTAGAAGGACGAAACAGCTGTATGATGTACCATCACTGGCGAGGCCTTGAAGGACGAAACAGTTGTATGATGTAGCATTACTGGCGAGTCCTAGAAGGACGAAATAGCTGTATGATGTACCATCACTGGCGAATCCTTGAAGGACGAAACAGTTGTATGATGTAGCATTACTGGCGAGTCCTAGAAGGACGAAACAGCTGTATGATGTACCATCACTGGCGAGGCCTTGAAGGACGAAACAGTTCTATGATGCAGTTTAATCTATTGTTTGGCTTTACTGTATCTCACTCTTAATTATGAAAAGGTGTTATTCACTTGTGTGTCTTTTGTTCAATCTTTATGTTTAACATACTCAACAATGAATCCAGATTGACAGAATCTTTACAACAGTTCACTATCGACTAAGGAACGATAGTCTGTTGACAAACGTTCTAGATGCATTTTCGTCCCATTAGTATTCTGATATACTAAAGGCAGACTGAAGGGACGCGCCAAGTCAATGATTCATCCAATCTTTATTTGTTGTACATGTCCCTGTTTTAATATTAAAATCCTTAACCAGAGACAATTTCTTTACATTTATAGCGAGCGCTTCAAGGTATTGTGTGTGTTGTTATTCAACTCCAACAAACTACCCATACGATCAAGTTTAAACGGAAGTGTGGCTGGAACATCATTACCCACAATACACTTACCGCAGCACGCAATGAGAACTACTGACCCGTTGAATGGATTGAAATGATTTTGACCAACAAAATAACGTTTTAAGCTCTCATGTAGAAATGAAATCATACTAAAAATCTTAAATAATTCAAATGGATTTAACTAATATATACTTTAATGGTTTTAAACGCATATAACGAATATCTCGTTGAAAAATTACAATTTTAACCATTCAAGATATGTGCACGATTGTGCACCGATGTATCTGATTTCCGGTTTAACCTTCGGGAACTTTCGTAACTTTCCGTACGACATCGTCTCTTACACGAAAACAGCCGAAAGGTACTGATTTGGCGAAAACCCTGTCCTGTCTCCTAACAATATTAATTCTGCAAGATGTGGATATTCTTTCGATAACTGTTTGAAATTAATTATGATCAAATATATGAATGTTTAGAAATTTTCCAGCAGACACTTGTAAGGCACGATGATAAGATAACTATTGGTGATTTTTTTTTTTCAGAAAAATGCATTTTATGTAATATATTGTGACTTTTGAATTTCGTTTGAACATTTACATTTATATTGATTTTCTGAATTACAATGTATAACACAATAGTCTCAACAGTGTTTATAACTTCACCCTCTTTTTGCTATCAAGACAAGTCAACATTGCTTAAAAAACTGAAGGTTCAAAGCATTTTATGATTTGTTAATTAACAGATCGAAAACATTCAATAGCAAAGTGAAAAGAAAACGATGGTGGAGAACATTCTGTTGTTAATAAATGAAACTTTGTTAAACATATAACCACCGCCGTTACAAATCCGACTAAAACCATATTGTATTTCATAATATTTTGACTACAAACTCTTTTTTTAAGCAAAATCGTTATATAGTCCTCTTTGCAATATCTGTAACTCTGAAAGGGAAATTCTTGTACATTTATTTTGAAAACATTTTTTTTTTTATCAATTTTTAAGTCTAGATATGTTGTCAAAGACTTTATTAATACATTTACTGTTACCATTGAAACCGATGACCCTCATCACAAATTTCAGTTTTTCTGGGCCAATGCTCTGAAAACGTTCAAGATAATTGCTCAAAATTTTTTACACTTATTAGGCTTGTAGTATTTTTTGCTATTGGGGAAGTTCACCATTTAACTACTTTCTCTGTTACCATGGAAACAGATAGCCCAAATAACAAAATTAAGTTTTGTCAGGCCAGTTCTCTTAAACCATTCAAGGTAATTACCCGTTACTCATAACTTTGTACAGGCATCAAGCTAGTACTTTAGCAAAAGTTCTCAATTTCAATACTTTTTATGGAATTATTTGAATCGAACCCCGGACGGCTAGGTGAAAGACAAGTGTGTTACAACTGTGCCACCAAATCATCGACTGATCATGTTGATACATTGTTTTCTAGAAGATCAACAAGATGTAATGATGATGATGATGATGATGATGATGATATATTGGTACATTTGTATGTGCAGATGTTTTGTTAAAATCTTGCGAAATGAACAATTTTAAAAACACGCTTCAGTGCAGACACCGCTCAGGCTGTTCAAAATGTGCATCTTGTTGACCAACTTGAGCTCGCTTTTAGGCAGTGCCTATTTCATATTATATTCTCTAAAGAAAGCTCATGCCTCCTTAACTTTCAAACATGTAAGCCTCGAATGACCCAGACGCACTTCCGGTAAATCATGCTACTTCCGGGAAAAATAACGTATAAACAGTTCTTGCTGACAATTTCGTCAGTCACCTTATTCAGTTATACACTTATTTGTATGATAAAAGGCATATATTCTAGCACAGATATTTTCAGGCGATACTACAATTAAATACCTTCCTTTGCCTTGATGAACGTGAACGGTTTCAGAATAAGCTTTCGACTAAGACCCAAAGTCGTGCCCAACAACCACTTAACAACTGGCGCTGACTTTAATAGGTCCTAGTTTATAAGATATATGTTAATTATGTATCGGCGCTATTTAGAGATACTTAAGTCTTACATCTTCGGTGACACTGAATCGACAGATGACAGTAAAGAAACGAAGAATGAAGTTGAAGAATCCCAACGTTGCGAGAATACTGAACTGAAATCGGAAACAATTCCGGACGAGGTCCGAGCGAAATGGGAGAGGTATGACGGAGATAAAAACGATGTCAGATGTTTTGAAATTCATTGATGTTATTTTTCATTACAGATTTCTAAATATATTGGAAAGAAAACTTCAATTTTTCATATGAAGTTTCCTTAATAAACTGACTACAATCAAATACACGTGCACAAAACACCCATTGTCTACTATATATAGTTCTTCTATACAGACGTATATGGTAATAACGCTTGTGGGTATAGACCTTTGTAACTCCTAATTAAATGTAAGGCCGTTACAATAGAGCATGATTCAACACAATGTAAACTGATTTTAAAGATAAAATACATAGTCGGAAAAAGAAATGTGAATATAAATTTCATGTGAATATTTATATAAAAGCTATTTCATCAAAAGAAGAATCTCTCAATGTATGGATGTGAGTTAGTATTGATATCAATACCCCTGTTTCCTCTGACTGGTGATCTGGACAACATATTATGAAAAGAATGGTATCCTTGGTAGTATGACATGATTGAGGCTAAGATGTTAAGTTATTTTCCCAATTTTCAGGAAAACTTTCATTCACTGGTTTATCTTAACAAAAAGTTCAGAACACAGACATTCCTTGGAAAAGCCATATTAAATAATGACATTTTTTGTTGTTTTTTTAGTTTTGTTCTTTCGTTTACTTTGTTTTATTTAATTCTAGTGAACAGCAGAGGTTAAAGACCAATGTGATTGACTCTGATGCAGATGTGGTAAAGGAGATTCGACAATCTTCAGGACAACCTGGCAAGGGTGACATGCGTCAGTTTTATCTTGGAGGTGTTGACATTTCATTTGTAAAGGGAGATAATGTGAACGCTTGTGCTGCTTTAGTAGTGGTCAGCTTTCCTAGTCTAGAGGTTGGTAATAACTCGACTTTAAAGACAATTTTGAAATCTATATCAACTGTTATGACACTATTAAAATATCAGATATACAAAGAACTGGTTTTATAAACTATTGAAAATGAAAATTTATTTCAAATATAAGTTGTCACATTATGCCAAGATGTGAAATGAAAAAATAATATGCTATGTAAGTTTTTCCCGTATGATAAGCACTTTAAAAATGGATTTTGTTTTTTTTCTTTGCATCAATCTCACACAAAAAATAAGATGTATTTATTTTCTGTTTCAGGTAGTCTATGAAGATTATGAAATGATCAAATTGACAGCTCCATATGTGTCAGGTTTCCTTGCCTTCAGAGAGGTAGATTTTATTGTAGCCTTATATCGTAAAGTCCAGAAGAATGATCCTGAACACACACCAGATGTAAGACTGAATTGATTCATCTGTACTTCTCTATCTCTATTTCAACTCTTTTCTCTGTCCATCTTAACAGATGCTCAGAAATTAGTAACTGAATAAATGATTTGTTATCATAGCAGTGCTGTTTCTGTAGAAGACATCTTTGTCATCATGAGGCAAATGTGAATATTGAAACAGAATCTAATATTATATACATTTACAATGTACTTGAAACCTACAAGAAAAAGTTGTTGATTGTCAAAATAAGAACAAGCTTCAGGATTGACTTTGATCTCCATACTAAAGTTTTTGTCTTTCTTGCCATCAAGATAAATAGAGGTATTGTCTTACATAAAGAATTATTATTATCTTGATTACAAAGATAAATTTTAATCTCTACACATACATTGACGTACATATGATACCTGTGATGTCTGTTCAAATTACTAGTATTTATCTTAATAATAATATATATTTATAATAAGTTTATTCAGGAAAGATTTGCACAAATGTATACAAAGCACGATAAATAAAATACATGTTACATAGTACATAAGGTGTAAAATTTACATAAATAAAACATGCAACACCGGAACATAAAATCACAATAAAGACAGCTGATATATGTTAAACAAATCTATCCAAGGATAACCCAAAAAGCGTAATAATATACACTTATTTCCGTTGGGGTCCTTCTGTAAATACATTATAAAATACATTATGATTATACATTAATTTCTTCCGTGTTTGCCTGTTATAAATTAATTTATTGATAATCAAGGATGGTAATACTGTCTAAATGGATCTCCTTTCAGAACACTTTTTTCAGGTATTTTATGCGCAGAACTCAATCTGATAATTTTCCAACAGGTACACAGAAACATATCATTAATGAATTCTTAAGTTTGGAAACTGGATTTCATTGTAAAGTCTACATATGTTGTTGTTTATTGTTTGTTTCAGATTATACTTGTGGATGGTAATGGGATCCTGCATCATCGACGTAAGTTATTCATGTTTTTTTTTATCTCTAGATATAATTATGGCAACTTGTATCAGTAGTATTGGATGAATATATATGATCCCATTTAGCCTCGTTTTTGGTGCTTATGTATTTACATTGCTGATGTGGTGATTTTGTTTTCTTTTATTTCAAATTAACTCTTAAACATTTTTTATACATGACAAGTATATTTTGAAGTGATATTCAAACAATATTTAACACCTACATTGAAGTTATTTTAAATGTGTGATTAAGAGTGACTCATGATTTGTTCAAAGTTGTAATGTATTCACTGAGAAATCTAGTTTTTATTGCAGAGTTTGGCCTGGCTTGTCACCTAGGAGTTCTATTGGACATTCCCTGTATAGGGGTAGCCAAAAAGTTGTGTCAGGTAGATGGTCTTGAGAAGGATGCAGACCATACAACAAAGGTAGAGTTATCTTTCTTGAATGCAATCAAAGCAGTAGTAATTAAGTAAACATAGGGATAGCTTTTAGTCAGTATCAGGAATGTTGTGCTCGTTCCAATAGCAATTTGAAATCCATATTTACACAAATGTTTACCCAATGTTTTCTATAAATATTTCCAATCTTTGACAAAATATTTCATTCTTTTCTCTTTGTAATTTGTCCTATGTTTGCCATAATTGTTAAATAAGGGAGAATGGTTCGTGTGAAGAACTAGCTTACAAGTGAAGTATTCTTTGCTGTTACAACTGATAAATGGACACCCTTTGAAATTGTCTTAAAATGATTAGAAACAAGAAAACAACAGGTGTTTAATCAGAAACATATCTGTCTGATTTAGATTAAAGAACTGAAAAAGGGCGGTGATATGTTCCAACTGATTGGTGACTCTGGGAGATGTCTGGGAATGGTGAGTGTGAAACTATTTGTATCAACTTGATATTTGATAAGAGTTTAAAATACATTTCTGAACTAATCACTTACTTGTCATGAAAAAATGTTGCTGTTTACTCCTCCCATCAATCATTGTAGCACCTTGTCCAGGTCTTATCTCTCGAATGATAGTTTTAAGAGAACATGTTTTCCATGATGTGTTTACTATTATATACAATAGAAATTCTTACTTCTTATTTTTCTTTTTTTTTGTGCTGTCATACATCTCTCTCTCCCTCTCCCCCTCTCCCCTCAGTGTGTGTGTGTGTGTGTGAGGGTGAGTGTGTGAGTGTGTGTGTGTGTGTGTAAGAGTGTGAGGGTGTGTGTAAGTGTGTGTAAGAGTGTGTAAGAGGGTGAGTGTGTGAGGGCGTGGGTGTGTGTGTGTAAGTGTGTGTATGTATGTGAGTGTACATGTGTGGTAGGTTCAAGAGAACAATTTATTACTTCATCATCATGTAATAGCTAATGTTTGATATGATTCCTGATGATATGTGTGATGGACGTGAAGGATGGGTGAATGAATTAATGTATGTGGCGTTAACATGTATACTATTTAATTTATGTAAAAAAAAATTGAAAATAAAACATATACAAAAAAAAAATAGAAATTCTTACAATGTAAGGATGTAAGGATCTGTATTTAAGAATCAGACAGCTGAGGTCTTTATCAGTGACTTACAACATAGGGATGTGAAGATCTGTATTTAAGAATCAGACAGCTGAGGTCTATCAGTGACTTACAACATAGGGATGTAAGGATCTGTATTTAAGAATCAGACAGCTGAGGTCTTTATCAGTGACTTACAACATAGGGATGTAAGGATCTGTATTTTAGAATCAGACAGCTGAGGTCTTTATCAGTGTCTTACAACATAGGGATGTGAAGATCTGTATTTAAGAATCAGACAGCTGAGGTCTTTATCAGTGACTTACAACATAGGGATGTAAGGATCTGTATTTAAGAATCAGACAGCTGAGGTCTTTATCAGTGACTTACAACATAGGGATGTAAGGATCTGTATTTTAGAATCAGACAGCTGAGGTCTTTATCAGTGACTTACAACATAGGGATGTAAGGATCTGTATTTAAGAATCAGACAGCTGAGGTCTTTATCAGTGACTTACAACATAGGGATGTAAGGATCTGTATTTTAGAATCAGACAGCTGAGGTCTTTATCAGTGACTTACAACATAGGGATGTAAGGATCTGTATTTAAGAATCAGACAGCTGAGGTCTTTATCAGTGACTTACAACATAGGGATGTAAGGATCTGTATTTAAGAATCAGACAGCTGAGGTCTTTATCAGTAACTTACAACATAGGGATGTGAAGATCTGTATTTAAGAATCAGACAGCTGAGGTCTTTATCAGTGACTTACAACATAGGGCTGTAAGGATCTGTATTTAAGAATCAGACAGCTGAGGTCTTTATCAGTGACTTACAACATAGGGATGTAAGGATCTGTATTTAAGAATCAGACAGCTGAGGTCTTTATCAGTGACTTACAACATAGGGATGTAAGGATCTGTATTTAAGAATCAGACAGCTGAGGTCTTTATCAGTAACTTACAACATAGGGATGTGAAGATCTGTATTTAAGAATCAGACAGCTGAGGTCTTTATCAGTGACTTACAACATAGGGATGTGAAGATCTGTATTTAAGAATCAGACAGCTGAGGTCTTTATCAGTGACTTACAACATAGGGATGTAAGGATCTGTTTTTTTACAACTTTTAATATAGACTTTGAACTTTGAACCCTTGCAACTTGTGTAAGGTATTGTTATAGTTGACCTTGAAATATCCAATTCAATCTTGAAAAATTGTAAATCATCATTTTTGTGTGTAGCAATATTTGATAGAAGTGAACAGTTTTGATACCTGATACATCATAATTACATGTATGTTTTCTCTCCCAGACTCTCAGGAGCCACGACACGAGTACCAACCCCATCTATGTCTCAACAGGACATCGGATCTCCCTTGACTCCGCCACTTGGCTGGTCCACCAGTGCTGTAGATACCGAGTTCCAGAACCTGTCCGACTGGTATGTTTGTAACAGATCTACAGTTTCTTTACACAGTCAATAGATAATCTTATATACATTGTATTACCAGAACCTCAGGCTGTCTAGTGTCCCTAAAATTCCTAAAAAATCCTAATTTTTTTCAGTCTTGCTAAAATTCCTATAAAAATGAAAAATTCAAAAGGAATTCCTAAAAACACCCTAATTTGTCACTTCAGTTCCTACTTTTTTTTTTATATTTCTTACAATTTACTGAAAATGTTTCATTAAATTCATACTTAAAATGTATTTTAATGTAGTCTGTAGTTCTAATTCAGGGTAGACAATGAAAGGCAGTTGACCAGTGGATCTATGTACCCAGATTGTTATTGGTTGTGACTGAGTGACAGAGGTGTGATTCTTAAGGTCACAGCCAACAGCAGCTGGGACACTGAAACCCTGGAAGGCACCTTTCCTGCAATTAAGGCATTGTATGTTAGTTTCTATTTTGTCAAATTTGCAAAGGTAAGTCAGTTTAATGCTTTCATACTCCCTATTCTAGTTACAAAATTCCTAATTTTAGCCCTAAATTTGCCCTAAAATTTTGTCAAAAAGTGCTAGGCAGCCTGGAACCTGTCCGACTGGTATGTTTGTAACAGATCTACAGTTTCTTTACACGGTCAATAGATAATCTTATATGTAGTATGTTAACTTTATTCCTTCTACAATAATTGTAAAACAAGTCTTAAGATTGTATTAATCACTCTTTATATCCTGGATGAAAGTGTATGAGTGGGTCTAATTGTGGGAGAGAAACAGGGGTATTTGGGGATAACTGTGTTGACGTTAGGTGACCCTATATCTTGTCATATCCATTCAGGAATGTCTAGCCAACAAGTGTGTTATCAATGCACCACCATCCCACAAAACAGGTAACTTTATGAAATCTGAAATTTAATTTTCAGACTTCATGGTCTATCAGAGTATCTTTATGCAATATTTGAGATATTTCTGAAACTTTTGCATAATGAACATTACTTGTATTACAGGCAGATGTCAACTCTAGGGAGTACCTGAGAAACAATTTCAAACCGGACAAATTAGCAGATCCAGCTGATGATGTTTGAAAAATATGTTTATCTTTTGAATAATTCATTGATTTATCACTGTTTTAAATGTCAGAATAGAAAATCATGTATGTTGTAGTAAGAGAAATCCTTCTGAACATTATGTTAATGACATTTAAACTTCTAGCAACGGTATTTTGACACCCAAAAGAAAGTTCACACAAAAAATTGTTTATTTTAATAATTCCATATGTAAAATAGAATTTTTCAAAAATGTCTGAATTTTTCCAAATTGAATGCAGGCTAGCAGGAATTGAAGTTTTCCTGTTAGTGTGTTGTGTATCAATAATAGTACTTTGGTGCCTTAGCAGATATCATGTGTTTTTGTTACATATATACAGGGTACATGTGTTGATACCATTCAATTACACATTGCACCATTTTTGACTTGTGCAGTGTATCACAATTTAGACTACGAATATGTCAGCAATTTTTTACTTTCACTTTGTACCATGAAAAGGCACAAGATTTTTACATTTGATTATTGAAGATATTTTTTCATCTTTTAATGCCTTACTATGTGGATGTGATGCAGATGAAAGTTTTAGAATTTTAATACTACATAAGATTATTACTGTAATATTTTGATAACTTGTTTGAAACATTCTGCAATTATTTGTGACAGTGAATATCAAAATTGAATGTAGAAATATTTCAAAAAGTAAAAACAATTTATGACATACTGTAAAATCTTATATTATGGTGGGCGTCTTATTTTTGTGATTTTTTCAAAATAATTTTTTCGTGGACGACTTTAGCTCAATGATTCTACTTATGTCATCAGTTTGTAGACATATGAATGAATTGACTAAGAGTACCGAAAAAATGATTGAAAATCAGTCTCCCACAAAAGTGGATGATTTTACAGCTCTACGGGTACTAGATTGCAGATATCACAGATAGTTTGACTGAATCATTTAACTTATCTTTGTACTGGTATTACACACCTGGATATGTGTGACAGAGGGTTGAGAATGAATGTTTGTACGTACAGTGTGTGAGATGATCTCTCCTATGATGGTGGAGACTCACATTACATGAAAGTTGGTTTAAAGACAAAACTTTTTAACATGGTGTACTTACCTATATTTCAGAAACACAAGCAATATTAAGTTACTGTTTAGGAAAACAAATTCTTCTATATCATAAAATGATCATGTGGATTGTTTTTTTTTTAATTTTGGTAAAACAATATTTCTTCATTTCAGTCTTAAATATGAAATTACAATTAAGATAGAACTAGAGTATTTTTATTTTTTTATAAAGAAAATTTATCAGTTTTAAAGTACAAGGCACGTCCATGCAAAGTCGTTATACATACATGTTTATATCTGTGATAATATCTGATGTTGACCTGTTTTCCTGATGGTTGATTTATACAAAACATTATTTTACGTTGTTAAAAGAATTTTGTTATTTCAATAAATTATAATAGTTTCTATAAACATTATCAGTATTGTTTTTTATTGAGGGAGTGAATATGAACTGTATTATGCTATAGGATGAAATATTATGACAAAATCACAAAAACTAAGAAACAAGGAAGATTATAATAAGAGGGTAAAAATAAATCTATATTAAACATGTGACTTAAGTTCACACATATTGGACGGGAGTTAGAACAGGTACTTAGACTTAATGAATTAAAGACAAGGGGCATAACTTTTGTCAGTGTGACTTCATTTTAGGGGTTATGGTCAGGTGTACCGCGTCATGGATACAGGTCTAGATAAGTAGGAGTTCTTAAGGCAAAACTGACTCATTATGTGTATGGATAAAATAACAAGAGGCCAAACAGGCCTGTATCACTCACCTTCTCTATGACTGAAGAAGAGACAACATTATTAGTAGTAACTTAACTGTTCATTCTTTACAAATGGTCTGATAGAAGGATCACATATATTATATCATTTGTCATAAACCCTAAGTCCTTTGTGTGTGGATCAAGGTCATTCATTTTAACAAACTTGGTAGTCTTTCGTCCAAACATGCTACAGGCCCAATACCTTGGCCCAGGGACTCTTTGGTTATTGTTTCTATCTTGTTCTACAATCTTTTTAACACATCAGACATTTTGGGAAGGTAAGCCACAAAGTACATCATTTGAATTATATATTTTCCTGAAAAGTCATTCAAAAGTGGTGGTTGCCAGACATTTTTATACGCCTGTCGAAAGACAGGAGACTTCACATGAAGGTTTATTACCAGGTCAAATTCGATAACCAAAATTTTTCGATCATTATTTACAGAGTTATGGCCCTTGGTACATTTGCAAAATAGGTTTCCCCTGAATAACTTGAGTAATTTTTCATTTATTAAATTTGAAACTTCATATGAAGGTTTATACAAAAGGTTTCCGCTCAACAACTTACATGATAACAATTAAATGGAATTCATTGAGGCAGTTTTATTGTCATGGAAGCTGGGTAACTTCGATAGCCGAGAAATGAAATTCATCCAGTTATGGTTGCTCAAATTAGGACGGGCATATTTTGTAATGCTTGTTTATATCAGGGGAAGTAACTTTTGTTAAGAAAAAAATGGACAACAAGGCATTGAAACATAGCTACTCTATATACTATGTACTTAGTTTGGTAAAAATATGAACAAGTACAGTACATTAGACATAGATAATATTCTCGCAATGTCGTGTCTAAATTGGTTTACAAAATTTTAGTGAAGTAAAATACAAAACAGCACAACTTCTATGGTGAAATATATCATAAGTTCCTAATCATCCTTATGTAAATTTATGTACTGGCCGGCAGGTCGTGTAGAACAAATGGTTGACTTATTACAGGGCAATATCTGGGCAATATCTACTGGAGTTTTCTCATCATATCAGAGTTTTAGGGTCAGTGTATACTTTATGGTTCAAGACCTCCAATGATTAAAACTTGTCACAAGATATAATAAACTGAACCAGCACTTTGATACTTTTCAAGTTTATTTAAAAGGTGATGTGATGCAATCAAATTCAACAGCAACAATATTCCTAGTAAACTTTGATGTAGATGTTATTAAAACCCATTCCATCGTCTGTCAAGCTTATCACTATAATATCTGACAGAGTGAAACAACTTCTGTGTAATCTTTTGAACGTCTTCACTGATGGATATCTGGCAGAGTGAAAGAAATTCTGTGTAATCTTTTGAACGTCTTCACTGATGGATATCTGACAGAGTGAAACAACTTCTGTGTAATCTTTTGAACGTCTTCACTGATGGATATCTGACAGAGTGAAACAACTTCTGTGTAATCTTTTGAACGTCTTCACTGATGGATATCTGACAGAGTGAAACAAATTCTGTGTAATCTTTTGAACGTCTTCACTGATGGATATCTGGCAGAGTGAAACAAATTCTGTGTAATCTTTTGAATGTCTTTGCTGATGGATATCTAAAAGACAACAAATTCTGTGTAATCTTTTGAACGTCTTCACTGATGGATATCTGACAGAGTGAAACAAATTCTGTGTAATCTTTTGAACGTCTTCACTGATGGATATCTGGCAGAGTGAAAGAAATTCTGTGTAATCTTTTGAATGTCTTTGCTGATGGATATCTAAAAGACAACAAATTCTGTGTAATCTTTTGAACGTCTTCACTGATGGATATCTGACAGAGTGAAACAAATTCTGTGTAATCTTTTGAATGTCTTTGCTGATGGATATCTAAAAGACAACAAATTCTGTGTAATCTTTTGAACGTCTTCACTGATGGATATCTAAAAGACAACAAATTCTGTGTAATCTTTTGAACGTCTTCACTGATGGATATCTAAAAGACAACAAATTCTGTGTAATCTTTTGAACGTCTTCACTGATGGATATCTAAAAGACAACAAATTCTGTGTAATCTTTTGAACGTCTTTGCTGATGGATATCTAAAAGACAACAAATTCTGTGTAATCTTTTGAACGTCTTCACTGATGGATATCTAAAAGACAACAAATTCTGTGTAATCTTTTGAACGTCTTCACTGATGGATATCTAAAAGACAACAAATTCTGTGTAATCTTTTGAATATCTTTGCTGATGGATATCTAAAAGACAACAAATCCTGTGTAATCTTTTGAACGTCTTCACTGATGGATATCTAAAAGACAACAAATTCTGTGTAATCTTTTGAATGTCTTTGCTGATGGATATCTAAAAGACAACAAATTCTGTGTAATCTTTTGAACGTCTTCACTGATGGATATCTAAAAGACAACAACTTCTGTGTAATCTTTTGAACGTCTTCACTGATGGATATCTAAAAGACAACAAAATCTGTGTAATCTTTTGAACATCTTCACTGATGGATATCTAAAAGACAACAAATTCTGTGTAATCTTTTGAACATCTTCACTGATGGATATCTAAAAGACAACAAAATCTGTGTAATCTTTTGAACATCTTCACTGATGGATATCTAAAAGACAACAAATTCTGTGTAATCTTTTGAACATCTTCACTGATGGATATCTAAAAGACAACAAAATCTGTGTAATCTTTATATCTAAAAGACAACAAATTCTGTGTAATCTTTTGAACGTCTTCACTAATGGATATCTAAAAGACAACAAAATCTGAAAATCACATGTGTTCATATTTAATATCTCCATCAAAGTCAATAAAACTTCAAATATTGAAAAAAAGATCAATTTGCTATCTACGAAAAATGACCAAATCTCTTATGATTGAATGATAAGTTAATTTTGCCTTGGCTTTGTTCACAACAAATCCAGTTAACCTGTCCAATAACATGGATTTAAAATGAAAGGTCCCGTTATTTACTACAAAACCTGGATCTACTCTTATATAGAAAAAATCTCTTTACTCTGGTTCCAGAGTAACCAACTTACTGTCACAAAGTGGACTTACATGATCAAAGTGTCAAAAGAGATCTACATACAACTGAATATAGATAGTCTTGGTTTCTATGGTCTGGAAATCTAACGGAAAGGGACTTACTTAAACTTTGTGACCTGACAATTTATAAATCTGTTATCTTTTAGAAAAGCAAAATCCAGTTGTGAAATGCAAGTCTAAGTCGAGTTCTGAATGCACTGAACAGACCTTAAATGAATACTTTGTATAGCACTGACCACAAGGCTTGTTGGTCCTTTAGATAGCACTGACCACAAGGCTTGCTGACTTTGGTCCTATAGATAGCACTGACCACAAGGCTTGCTGACTTTGGTCCTATAGATAGCACTGACCACAAGGCTTGCTGAATTTGGTCCTATAGATAGCACTGCTCTGCCAAACTGATTGACCTGCGATCCATGCTGGTCGATATCTAAGTGAAAGAATTATCAATATTCGACGGTAAATAACATCAATATTTGATGGAAATACTTTGAATTTGTTTTGTGTATCGTCCAATGACATGGTTTAAACATTGAAATGTTTTAATTGAATTGTAACTGATATGACATTACAATGAAAAGCAGTGCTAATAAATCGCCTGTAATTTAATAGTTACATGTACTGCCAACAGAAGGCCTTTGGATAAACTTACTATTTATCAACCAATCAAATGAGAGTATGAAACAGCAGGATGACATTATGATGCTGAAGGTCTGGAAAAGATTTGTTAAGAAATATATCTATCTACAGCATTAACTAGTGATCATTGATCCTTGTCAATTTAAGATTTTTTTTAAAGAACTAATGAAATGAATAATTGCAAAAAACAAAAAAAACCCAAACAAAAGCTGAATTCATCATCTACACATTCTAACAGTCACAAATA